AGGGGCAGCCTCACATTCTTCCTTGATCCGGGCTGCCTTCCAGGGGCAGTCCCTACTCCTTGTTCTTGCAGGGACCAGGACTGGCCTCAGTTGGCCCCTGCTCCCATTTCTTGGAACCTCTTCCAGGTCCCAGTGCTCAGGTGGCTCGGCTTCTCAGTCTGTGTCCCACCCAGTGGTGGAGAAATGCAGAAAGCCAAGCATGTGCAGAGAGCCCCAGGTCCACTCCTCACAACAGGGAAACAATGCGAGCATTTAGCAGCAGAGCTGCTTTAACTAATCACCACCACCACCAGTGATTAACCCTTATACAGCTGCAGCAAATAAACAGAGGAGCTGCAGAGAAATGTCTGGAGAGTGAGACCCAGCACACACCCCTCCACACCTGGCTCCCCTTTTTCTGCTGAGTTTCTTTCCAGACTATTGGATTAACTAGCTTGCATTGAGACTTTGGGGACAGCTGGGAGACCCCCACAACTGTGTCACTTGTTATGTTAGGGTGGAGGAAGCACAGGTTGGGGGGAGATGAGTGCTCCTCACTTCTCCCACCCCAGCCTGAAAAGAAGTTGAACCAGAAAATGCCTGGTTCTCATTGGATTATATGTCATGGGTGCCCCCTGGAGAAATCATGCCAGACAAGGGGCACGGAGACAACAAGGAAGCTTGGTATTTGTCCCTCAGACCTTTCCAATGTCCTTGCCATGTGCCAAACTCTGTGCTGGGTGCTGGGGACTCGAGCTCTGATCCCTGCTTTAACCCGGAGGGGAAAGCAGAGAAACCAGTAGGCACAGAGACACACACATGGGGGAGGAATGTCACACCGCAGTAGGGTCCTAAGGGAAGGGGAGCCACCAGGTATTGTTTAAAGTCAAGCTGAAAACCCTAAGAAAATAAGGGCATGGCAGGGAACAGACAATTCAGAGCTGCTCTACATGTGGGCATGAATCTAAGTGAGGAGGGCAACACTGAAACCAGGGTTGTTGTTTGTTATGTGCCGTTAAGTTGCCTGCCACTCATAGCGACCCTATGTACAACAGCCCTACACCCTGCTCTATCCTGTGCCAATCTTAATGTCTCTGACACACCTACCCCCAGTACCTCAGTCACTGAATCAATCCATCTCATTGAGGGTCTTTCTTTCTTGTGCTGTCCCTACACCCTTCCAAACATGACGTCCCTCTTCAAGGACTGGGTCCCTCCATGCAACATGTCCAAAGCATGTCAGATGAAGCTTCAGAATCCTTGTCTCCAAGGAGCAACCTGGTCTTATCCTTTTAGGATAAACTTGTTTGTTCTCCTAGCAGTCAGTGGTATATTCAATACTCTTCTCCAGCACCACAGCTCAACGGCATCAACCCTCCTTCTGTCATGCCTAGTCATCGTCCAGATCTCTGATGCATAGCAAGTAATTGCAAAGACCATGGCCTGTATCAGGCACACCTAAGTCTCCAGACTGACATCATTGCTCTTCAGTACTTTGGAGAGGTCTCTGACAGCAGACTTTCCCAATGCAATTCATCTTTTAATTTCCTGGCTGCTGGTACCAAGAGTGTTGAAACCAGGGTAGTTACCTCAAGATTCTCACTCAGGGCTGCAAAGTCGGAACTGACTCCTAACAGCCCCACCAGTGGATTTTCAGTGGCTGTAAATTACACAGGAGGAGACTATTCATCTTTCTCCTGCAGAACAGTTGGTGGATTCAAACAGCCAGAGAGGCGTCACCTTCCGGTTAGGAGTGCAACTCTCCACGCACGCCAGCAGAGCTCTGTCATCAGAATTGTTAGGTGTCACTGAGTTGGAACCAGCCCACATGGCTGACTCTCCGGTGGGTTTTCAGAGGCAGTAAATTACGGGGGAGAAGAGTGCCCATCTTTCTCCCACAGAGCAGCTGATGAACTTGAAACAGGTGCCTCTAGGTTGGCAGTGCAACTCCTTACCCATGAGTGACCAGAGTCCTCTCACCTGAGCCTAGAGGGGCAGAAAGGAGGGAACCACCAGTTCCTCATTGACAGGAAGAGGATCTGGTGAGATAAGGTCTCAAAGCAGAAGAAACGCTAGAAGGTTGGTTTTGAAGGATGAATTGGTGTTCTCTACCGGATGAGAAAACAGGGAAGAACTCCTAGGGCAGTGTACAACAGCAAAGCACAGGGAGAGTGAGACCACGGTGCTAAGTTGGTCTGCATGTCTAGATGGCATGGTCTGAGAGGGGACATGACGAGAGAGAAGGCAAGGACAGCGTGAAGGTCTAAGGAGTGTGGACTTTAGCTCAAGGGCAAAGATGAACCTTTGGAGGGTTTGGAAAAGGGCAATTATATGCTGCTTTGAGTGATGGCTCCCAAAGGCCACTTTGGTTAGAATGCAAAGGATGGGATCCAGGAGGAGGCACAGAGCTGGAGGTCTAATAATGTAGTTTAATGACAGCATTTATATGAAGACACAGTGTGATTTTAAGAGCCCCTGCCCCAGCACACACACACACACACACACACACACACACATATCCATATAATGCATATATACATACATACTCCTTTTAACACTTACGACAACTCACTTCATGTATATACTTTGCTTTCTCCATTAGGTAGATTAAAAAGCTAACAGAGATGAAAGCACTTGCCCAAGGGTACACAGTAATTGGGGGGGGGGGTTGCGCTCAGGATTCCAGCCCAGTCAGTTCAGCTATAGAAGGATCCTCTTAACCACTATGCTATAGGGCTACAAGGACAAAGGGACAAAAATGTGAGACCAGGCAGTATTTAGAGGGAATATTCCTGATGGGCCTCCTCTGTATGTGGGGTACCCTGAAATAGTTTTTGGCTTCCACAGAGAGAGGGGTGTATATATTTTAATTCTAAGATCCAGGGTGGGTGAGGTGGGGGTGGGCAGGACTCTGTTGTGTGTCGTGTTGAGGGGATAGAAACTTCTAGAACCAAGCATGATGAGAAGCCCCTAGGGGTTCCCAGGAACACCTATCTTTGAGAGTGGAGGTAATACTTTTGCTTGGATGAGTATGTGCCTATAAGCTCTTTCAGATTCAGGAAGGCAGAGTATAGGGAGATAAGAGGTGAGTGTGCCTCCGTGTAGGGAAATCAGAGAACTGGCTCTTCTCCAACAGATTTCCCCAGATGTAACAAACCCACATTCAAGACTCTGCTCTCTTCCACTCCAGAGCCATCAACCCACACAACTCACAGTCATGCTCACCTCAGAGTCTGTGGTCAGGTGGCTCCTGAAGGACAGTTGGGCCCTACTAATATGAGGCTAAAGCTCTGGCTACTTGGACAATCTGGGTGTGACTACACTTCTCATTTTTTCAGCCATGCAACTAGGAAGGGTGAGCACAGTGAACAGTGACCATCAGAGAGCAATTTTACACACTTTGTAACACAATCATCAGATGTTCAGAATTCTAGTTGGTGGGCCGTACTGTGTGGTAATGCTGAAGTTAGAGGCTGTGGGCATGTGTACATAACATTGAACTTGAATCTAATTCCTGGGCTGTTTGATAAACAAGGAGATACTACTCTCAGTCTTTCATCTTTGTGGCACTCAGAATTGTGTTTGAATTCTCAAGAAAAAGCACTTAGAAATATATGTTAAGAGCATCTCCTGTTTGCCAGGACAGGAAAATCCAACAGAAATTATTTCAAGAAAAGATGCAAAAAATTAGATGACAAGGGAATGTTCTGGGAATATATAATTCTGGTCTTAAAAGGAGCGCCTCAGAAACCTGATGGAGGGTCAATATGGGTTGGAATCAAATGCACTGAGCTGGTTTTTATTGCATAGTCTTAAAGCAAAGTAAGATAGGGCAAGGTCAAAGCCAGGGTCACTATCCTAGACAAGGAATACCCAATCTGCCAATCAGAGGCCTCACTCCATCGGCTGCCACTGCCAACACCTGTTGGAGCCATGACATTTCTTTATCATCAGGAAAAAGCACTGTTAGACAGGAGGCTGTCATAGCAATGAACACAGGCTGGTGAAGCCACTGCCAATGCATTATAAATAAACACACACACTCCCTTCCCGGTTCTAGTGGGAAGCTCAAGCCCACCTATGGGGCATTTACACACAAATGGCTGAACAAGCTCGAGCCACGCTGGGGCCTGGCATCAGAACTCCTCCTAGACAGACTGCACAAGGCAGATACCTTCTGTCCGACAGCTGCGTTCTCCAGACCCACAGTGTGGGGGAACCAGCACAGTAAATGGTTTACAAACCCTGAGCACAGCTTCTCCCAGCCCCGACTGTTCACATCAACAACTCTGCCATCCTGCTTTCCCCCTCTGCAGGGCACTACTCCAGCACCAAAGCGCTGCACTCACACCCCTTCACTGGAGAAGGAGGGAACATCTCCTGCCCCTTATGGATCCCTCTGTGTCCCCTGAACCTGGCTCTTCAGTTCCCCTGAACGTTCAAAACGCAAGTGCTTTTATAAGCTAGCAGAAGAGGCTGCTGTTTCCCCTTGCAACTAGCTACAGCCCTTATGTTGGTTAACATTCAGCTACAGGAGGACTTCAGTCTTTAGAGCCCTATAGTCTCAAGTGCTGAGACTCCAGAGCCTGTTTAGGGACCTCTGCTTGCATTTCCCTTTCTGAAGCTTCCCATTGGTTTTCCCAAAGACAACACATGTCTGCACTTGAGACAAGCATCCCTCTCTTCCCGCCCCTTCTACCCAAACACAGGGCAGGTGCTGGCACTCCTCTGGACCTGGAGGTGAGGTCTGGGAGGAGGGGACCAGAAAAAGCTGAGGAATGAAGGAGGGAAGCTAGTCTTTCTCAAGAGCAGGGGAACTGGGTCTTGAATAAAGTGACTCCCCCAAGAGTTACGCCCAACTTCCCCAGAATCTGAGATCCAAGAACGGGCTCTGCCTTGGTCTCGGGGAGTGGTGACCCATCAAGTGTCCCATCTCGAGGGGGTGGTAAAGTCGGCCTTTTGGCTCTAGCTAACCGGAGACGTGGAGCGGAGGGGAACGGGTTGGCGCGTAGGGAACTCACGGAGGAGAAATTGTGCGGGCCGCAGAGCTCCCCGCGGTACTTGCAGGAGAGCAGCATGTCCTCCAGCTGGTGGCCCAGGCGGTCCATGAAGGCGGCGCTGATACCCTCGAAGTGGCGCGGCGGCAGGAAGAGGCGGAAGTCGGCCAGCTTGCGGAACCACTGGCGGCGCGACTCATCCCCTCGCAGCAGCTCGCTGACCAGCGGGCGCGCCGTGCGGTTGGGCAGCAGCAGCCCGAGCCAGTGGCCGGCGTAGTAGAGGTCCCCCTTGGAGAGGCGCGGGAAGCGCAGCGGGTTGTTGTTGCACACCGTGACGGCGGGGAAGGGCAGCTGGCGGCTCCACTCGCGGTGCACCCGCGTGTGCGACGGGAAGCTGAGCCAGTAGAGTAGGCGGTTCGAGGACCAGGAAAGCAGCAAGCCGAGGGACGTGCAGAAGGCCAGCACCCAGAGCGCCCGTCGCTGGAAGGAGCCCCCCGCCGCCGTGCGCCCGGCGCACATGTGCCGCAACCCGTGCAGTTTAACGCGGCTCAGGGATGGCCGCCCCCTGCGGGCGACCCCTTGCCCCTGCAGCGCCCGCTCGCGCTCGCCGCCTCTGCCGCTCCC